TGAGAATGTTCAATTTTCATGGATGTATTTGGTTACTCCAAAATCCAGAACTACTTGTGTAATATATTTATGCTTTCGCTATTTATGGACTTTGATAAACTCTATTATTAATCTCATTTAAATTCGGCCAAAAATATTTTAAGAAAATAGTTAATCTGTTAACGCTTTGGTGCTTCGGCACTGCGGGTAGCACTCCCTGCCCTAGCCTTCCGGGCCGGGTAGTGGGTGTTACAACAGTTGCTAAAGGGATTCAGACCTTGCAACGCGGCGGCAACCAGGAAGGAGGCCCTCCCGGCAAAACTCGTCTCGGGAAGGAAGGAAGCATCGTTGCTAAAGGGGTACAGACCTTGAAACGCGGAGCTGTTACTCGAAGTCCTGGAAGCACCGTTGCTAAAGGGGTATAGACCTTGCAACGCGGCGGCTGACAGGAGATCTCTGGGATCAATCGTCGAATCCTGCAAACTCGGGGCGGTACACTGGGCATGGTCATAACGGGCAATTCGCTAGTGATCATCTCAAAGATGAGCCCTATCGTGCTCCGTGCACGAAGCTGACACAACTTCATGCTGGGGTGCAAGCGTTCCAGGAAGCCACCCGTGTTCTAGAAGCTTTGGCTCAACGATTCTAGAGGTTGACGCCACAAGAAGAGGTGCACAAGCATTCAAGACACACCACCCTTGTGGACATGAAGACATTCTACGGGTGATACGAAGACGCCCTATGACGCAGAGATTCACATAAGCGTGGAAGCACCGTTGCTAAAGGGGAACAGACCTTGCAATGCGGAGCTATTACACAGGGGAATGGAAGCATCGTTGTCAAAGGGGCACAAACCTTGCAACGCAGAGCTGTTTCAAGCGTGCAAGATTTCACACGAAGGCATGCAAGCAGCTCAGGCGGAGCACCTAAAGGCCCATGCCATCAACAAATCTAGAGAGTACAAGGAAGGTTAGCTCCGTATTGAACCCACCTTTGAAGTCGAAGAATTCCAGGTCAACCCCGAGAGACTGGAACGGAAGATCAAGATCGATGCAGAGCTCTCGATCAATCTTATTAATTGAAGACCACAACAGGGAAGCTTGCAGGACACTTGGTCAAATTCTATGAGCGGATCATCACAAACTATAGATCAAGTGTAGAACTCGGAGCAACTCTTCAAGTTCTCAAACTCTTTCATTACTTAAAAAAAATATCTTTTTCGATCTTGAATTTGATGAGGTCCAACCTCACTTGGATTAAACGGGAGGCGGCTTAAAAAAAAACAAAAAAAAGAAAAGAAAACGAAAAAAAGAGTGTGTGTATATATATATATATATATATATATATATATATATATATATCACGCCCCGCTCTCGGTGTTTAGTCGACCACGGCTCGGCTCTCGGGCAAGGAAATAATCAAACTATTTTCTAAGTCTGGGGTTAGCTGCTCGGTCAGGTCAATTGTAAGACCGGCTTCCGGGTCGAAAAGGTATGTGAGAGGTCACGCCCCGATCCCCTCTCGTACATTTGTTGTCTGACGTTGCTGTTTAAACAGCCCGCATACATGTATGGTTTAATCAACGATGCGACAACTATATGACCGATCTCCGGACCGAAGGAATGCGAAAGGTCGTGCTCCGAGCCCCTTTCGTACATCCGTTGTTTGACGTTGGTAGGCTTAGCAGCCCGCATACGCACTTGACAAGATCAACGGTGCAGGTCCGTTCTGGTCTGATCATGCAGGGCCTTGCCCTTACGTTTGGCCGACTTCAGTTCGACTTTCAGAAAAGGAATAACCAAAATATTTCCTAAGTATGAAACTAGTTGTACAAATCAAGGTGGTGTAAGACCGACCTCCGGGTCGAAGTTATGCGAGAGGTCGCGCCCCGAGTCCCTCTTGTACATCCGTTGTCCAATCGCTGGCCAAACGGCTTGCACAACTCGTTGGTCCTAGACCGACGGTGTGCGGGTCAGCCCCGCCTTACCCAACAGGGCGCGGTCAAGGTGGACGTTGTCGACTTTCCGCCCCTCGCGGCATAGGTGGGGAGCCAGATCCCCGATAGGTTGTCCAAGTATTCTTGAATGAAAAACGACTAAGTAAATTCAAAGAAAGAAAGAATGATGCATACATACAAGCTCAAGTGATAAATCAATCATGGAGAACAAGTCCGAGATCAACATTGCCCATCTCCTCCGCCTCATCACAGCTAGTTTGTGTATCATGTCGGTCACATCTAAAGAGAACAAGGCCTCCTTTTGTGCCAATGGGAATCCTCCTTGGTCCGCAACTAAGCGTGGGCATACTCTGGACGCTGATCCTCGACCTAAAGGTGACAAGCTCCAAAAAGTTTTGGGAGGCCTCAAACATGAGAATTACCTCATTTACTACATCCTCGACGCTGGGACATGCTTCGGAGGTAGGGCCTCGAGCCTAAAGCTTGCAAAACTCTGAAATTACTGGGAAGGATCTAACGCTGCAACTACCTTATGCCCTACATCCCGCGAAGACGTCTCCGGTTGGTCTTACTTTTATTTAAGCTCGGGTGTAACGGGCCAATAGTCTTGGACCCGGCCCATCCATGCTGGTCGGAGACCATTAAGATGACATATCATATTTTCATTGCCCTCAAATCGCAGCAGGTCAGGCCACCTTGGGCTCCTCATCACATTGAAAAGCATGTGCAACCCTCCGATCACGGGCACGAATGAACAGATCTGCAAAAGAGCTCTCACTAATTCAACAAACGATAGGGAATGAGTCGCCCAAACATCACTCTCTTTCCCTGCAACGCTCCCTTGACCTGCATCAGGGAGCCATCCAAGCATAACTCTCTTGACCCGACCTTGGCGGGTTGACGACGATGACCACTGCTTCGGATTCATGATTGGCCAATGAGTCGTCATCTACGTCAGCACCAGCTCAACATCATCATTCTTGTTTCAAGACCGGTCACATCCTCATTCACTTGGATGATGACCGCTGCTTCGGATTCATCACGACCGGACTAAATGTTGTCGTCCTGATTCTACAATCGGGCTAACATGTTGTCCTCAAGGATGACGACTATTTCTTCATCGCAAACCTGATCTCAACCATTCCTTCAGCAAATGGAAGACTTTTGTAGATATCTTTCATGCTTTGGCTGGGATGCGGGGTGATCCAAACTTCTGTTGGTCTGGTCATGTCCCTCTGCTGATGATCAACTTCATGCCTTTACTCTTCTCGACAAAATGGTGTGGACAGGGAAGGCATGTGTTTCTCCTCTGCATCAGGCAGAGAAGCTCTTAGCATCTCCCAACATTAGGCAGGGAAGGTGCATGCTTCTCCCCGGCATCATGCAGAAAAGCTGAGAATCTCCCCGGCATCATGCAGAGAAGTTGAGCATCTCCCTAGCATCAGGCAGAGAAGACCGTATCATCTCTCGACATTAGGCGGGGAAGGTGCACGCTTCTCCCTAGCATCATGCAGAGAAGTTGAGCATCTCCCCAGCATCATGCAGAGAAGCTGAGCATCTCTCCGACATCAGGCAAAGAAACTCTTGGCATCTCCCAGACATTAGGTAGGGAAGGTGCGTGCTACCCCCATTATAAGGCAGAGAAGCTCTGAGCATCTTCCCAGGACCATGCAAAGAAGTTATGCACTCTCCCCGACATTAGATGGACCTGCATCAGATGTCAAAGACTGAGACTTAGCATCCTTCGTCGCATCCAGGGTAGCAAATGTGCTTCTCCGACTTGCCATACCTACGAGGAAACGAAGGTCAGAGCAAGTCAGCAAGTGTGCTTCTCCGACCTGACATACCTATGAGGAAACGAAGGTAGAGTAGGACGGCAAGTGCGCTTCTCCTACCTGCCATACCTATGACTATGAGGAAACAAAGGTCAGGGAAGGAAGTGCGCTTCTCCGACCTGCCATACCTTTGAGGTAACGAACAAAGAGAGCAGAGATTCTACCGGTTGGGTTATCTCCCCTTACCCGGCCTGGGGGCAGTTTATACCTTTGCTCTTTTCGGTAAGTTTTTCTTCACAGATCAGGCAATCTGTACGCTTTTCCCCAGCACCAGACGGAGAAGCTTCGCGCTTCTTCCTTGCATGAGTCAGACCTCCATCAGACGTCGAAGGCCGAAACTTAGCACCTTGCGTTGCAGCTAAAGCAACGAGAGCACCTCTTTTACGTGCCATGTTTGTAACAAGTAATAATAGCAATCAACAAAGACTACTTATCATGGCGGACTACTCACTGCATCTATCCCGGGAACATCAGACGAGCCCTACTCACAAGTGAAGACCGGTCTTTGCTATCCCCTCAGCGGATGGCGACCGCTGCAGCTGCACACATTAGCTCACCCTTTTGCTCCATCTTGGGCGCATTTAAAGAAGAGATCTCTCCACCAGAACAAGACCCTGGGTTGCTAATGGGACAAAAGACACTAGGCTGTTAATCGGAAGAACAAGACATCGAGCGGCTAATCAGACAAACAAGACCTAGAACTGCTACCCAGATGAAGGAAACCTTATCCTCTCACAAGCAGTGGGGATCAATGTGCGCAGCTGTGCAACCGCCCTTTCCCGAACATACCTCGATTGTCTATCATCAGCGGACAACTAGGTGACCAGCCTCTCCCGAGCATACCCCGGCTCGCCATCCCCGACAAACAACTATGCGGTTGGCCTCTCCTGGGCATACCTTGGCTCGACATCATTAGCAGACAGTTATGCGGGTGGTCTCTCCCGAGAATACCTTGGATCAACCGCCACCACTGACAAACAACCATGCGACTGGTCTTTCCAGAACGTATCTTGGCTTACCAGTAAAGCAGACACTCAATCAAGAATCGAGGGGACTAACCTTCCTTTGCTTTATTTTAAGGTTTCAGTGTACTTTTTTTTCTTCACTAGGATTTTTTCCCACTGTTTTTTTTCCTAGTAAGGTTTTAACGAGGCACCCCTCATCATGAACAAAGGAAGAGGTCTCCCGGTCTGTAACACCCCCAAATTTCCCGCCCAAAAACATTGATATGATTAAAATAAAACTTTTATTTATTGATAATAAAATTTAAAGAGTACAGCGGAAGTCTAAATAGGGAAATGGGTGTCACCGCCACATCCGGTCATCTCTCGACCGGATGCACAGGCAGCTAAAACAATAAAACTAAATAAATAGATGTTTATTTGAAGACTAAATTTGACTAATGCAACTTCTAACTCGCTCTCAGGTACATGCATTCAGCAGTCAATATAACCATCATCACCTGCACAAATATCGTGCAGAAACAAAACAAAGAAAGAACAAAAATTAGCTTTAGAGCTAAGTAAGTACTACCCAACCCCGTAAAATAATCAGGTTTGACAAAAATAGATTTTTATATAATACTATATAAAAATAACACACTCCATAAAAATTCTCTTCTTCTTTGATCATCTCAAAAATCACTTCTTCTCTAACTTCCTAGTAATTTAGAAGGGCGGTGCTCAACCTTTCGACTGAGCCCGGTGGACCGTGGTTACGGACGGCCACCCCGAACAAGTGCCGGTACCACAACTGCTCTTGTAGAAACGAAACGACTACCTTAAGTGTGCACACCCCCTAAAAGGGATTCCAAGCCCTCCGAGTAGTAAGTCGTCACGAGTAATCGGGACTCAGTCTACCAACTACCCCACCTTTAAAATTCTTGAATGATTAGGGGCTACTATAACTTCTTCTTAAAAGGGATCATAGATCCAAATGTCACTTAAAACTCAAATTGTACTTCTTAGTAGTAGCAGCCCTAATCACCCTCCACATTTATCCGGATGTGGAAAACCGACACCGCGGATTTCTCCCGCGGTGCTCACCTCTTATAAAATCCTTACTTTTATCTTGAATTAAGTATACTTCAAAAATAATTCTTAATCTCTCTAAATGGTCTCAATGATATTAAAAATATTTAACACTCCAAAAGTATTTCATTTGTATTTCTCAAATACCATAGATCTAATATCTTCTCAAAATCACATACACATAATATCTTCTCAAAATCACATACACATAATATCTTCTCAAAATCACATACACATAATTCAAAATCCACACTTAATCACATAATGCATAATAAGCATATAATACGAGGAAACAATTTTGGATTGACAGAGAAACTTACCTCAAATCCAATGCTCCTATTTCTCTTCTTCTATTCCGGTCTCTAAGTATTCACCTTTTTAATTAAGATGATATAATTAGTCACTTATTCAATTTTAAATAATTTACCCGATTTTCCCTTTTACTTTGCTATTCGGATTTATTAATATAATTAGTTATTCGAGTTTATTTTTTACCTTTTAATCACTTCTTTTTAATGAAATCACTTTATTACTTCAGCCATGATTCCTCTTATTGGAGTACTATAATTATATTATAATAACCGAAATGCATCAACTTTTTAATTTATTAATCACCATTAATTTATTCTACCTCTAAAACATCCAATTAATTTACTATATTTTAATACTGTTAAGATATACGGATTATGAACATACTCAAATTACTTCAATTATAGCTTATTACAATTATGTTCATACTTAATAACTATCTCATACGATAGTATTAGCTAAGCTATTTAAACTAATTTGGTAATTAATACAATAATCCTTTATTAATTTTAATCAAGTCTGATAATAAAAGGTATTAAATAGTTAACTAATCTCAGTTCGTGACAATCTCTTTAATATCAACACCTATATTATTAACAAAAATCTGAATTGCATTGATATTCAAATTTCATAATTTCCTTAATTTGTATTAATCAACATATTACAATTAGCGAAACTGAATATCAAAAAGATTATTTAAACTAACTAACCATGATTAACTTAATCTGATTTCATTAATTTACTCAAGCACTTTAGTATTTCCGAGTCCGTAATTATGTTAACTTATTAATCTACTTCAATTATTCCAGCCAATTTCACCATTAATACTTCTCATCTCAAATTTATCAATTTTGCAGATTATTATTATTACTATTATTATTATCATTATTCTTATTATTATTATTATTATTATTATTATTGTTATTATTATTATTATTATTATTATTATTAGGAGTTTCGGCCCAAAGAAGAAGAAAAACAGGTGCCAGCCTAAACTAAACAAACGGCCCAACCTTTTAAAACAAAGCATTGTTCTTCTTCCTCGTAAGTTTGACGGAACGAGATGTGCAGGGGAAGGAAAGTTACTTCGACGGATTCGTGATACGGTGGTGGTAGAAGACTCTTTTGGGGACGGCGAAGGTCACTGATGGGTTGGCGGCAGCGGCAGCTCCTCCGTCTTCTCCGTTTTCCGTTTTTACGGTTAGCCCGACGGAACTCCGGCAAGCCCGTTCTCCGTCGTTTCACGATCGTTTTCAATGATTCTTCTTCCGTTGGACTCCTCTCAGACAGGGGAAGATCTCAGAGGTGTTTTAGGGGCTTGGTTATGGCTAAAACGATGGGTTGAAATTTGTGTACACATATATATATATACGTATTTATATATATATGAAGTATATGCGACTGCAACTCATCGTTTTCTTGGTGTGAATGAAACGCGGGTCTAAGGCTGCTATTTATAGTTGTAGGTCGAGCGTTCTGGCTGCGTTAAAGTTTATCCGATTGATCTACAAGCCCAAGTTTCGGAAGTTTTAAACGAAGTCAAGAAGCTTATGTTTGCCTAGGACTCTACTTGTGCATGTGGACTTTCTGTAGTCTAGATTCGTGCGGTAGATGTATATGAGGGTATTATGATTTCCCAGCATCCGCATATTTACTAGGTTATAGTTAATTACATATGTTTAGTACGTTTTTATCTTTTTAGTTAATATTTATCTCTTCGTTTGCAGGATTATATACGTTCATTTGGATTTATGTCCAAGCAAGTGTACATTATTATGCTTAAAGAGTTTGCCGATTATTACTAATAGAGTATATTAGGTATATATACATATATACGTAGTCACATATATACGCATTTAGTTTTTTAGTTTTTTTTTTTTTTTGTGAAAGATCAACTTATTTATACACTTTTTACTTAACCAGTACCTATGGATTAGAAATATTAAGATCTCACTTCTATTATGGAAATATTTTATCTTACTAAGAATGTCACAAATATTAACATTTTATCTTAAACACTTTCGTAACATTTAATTTTTTTTTTTTTTTTGAAGTGTCACACTCTACCCTCCTTAAAAGAATGCTTCGTCCCTGAAGCATCAACTCTAATAATGATATAAAATTACCGAGTGTTACATTCTACCCCACTTAAAGAGAGGTTACGTCCTCGTAATTAAAATACGTTATTACCTTAATCAAACAACTCAGGGTAGCGTGTGCGCATATCATCCTCGGTCTCCCAAGTGGCGTTTTCAGTCAAGTGATTAGACCACAACACTTTCACCATCCTAACTGCTTTTGTTCTAGTCTCGCGAGTCTTGGTGTCCAAAATCTGGACCGGCCTCTCCTCGTAAGTCAATGTTTCGTCTAACTCGACCACCTAATAAAGTCGAGGTTAGCTGTGACTAAATTGATTCTAAAATTCCTCAAGGTCATGTTTCATACCTCAGGGTTAAGGATATGTGATTCGTCGCGAACATACTTCTTCAATTGGGAGATATGGAAAACATTGTGTACCTAAGCATATCATACGTTAGTTTCGAGAGATATTTACTAAGGTATCCACCAACGAGAGATTTTAAAGTGTAATTATACCTTAGCCAGCTCAGTGGGTAGAGCTAGACGATATGCCACTCTTCCCACTCGCTCGAGGACATCATACGGACCGATGAACCTCGGGCTTAGCTTTCCCTTCTTTCCAAATCTCATTACTCCCTTTGTCGGGGAGACTCTAAGTAGGACTTTTTCTCCCACTTCAAATTCAGCCGGTTTCCTTCCCAGGTCTGCATAAGACTTCTGACGATCTTGTGCAGCTTTCATCTTGGCTTGAATTAGCTTCACCTTCTCCATGGTGTCTTGGAGGTAATCCGGTCCCAAAACCACTTGATCTACCATGTCACCCCAACATAGTGGGCTTCTACACTTTTGACCATATAGAGCTTCATACGGGGCCATTTTGATACTGGCGTGGTAGCTATTGTTGTACGAAAACTCTATTAAGTCTAAGTGTTCTTCCCATGACCCTTGTAAGTCTAACATACATGCTCTCAGCATGTCCTCGAGTGTTTGGATGGTCCGCTCCGTCTGTCCATCGGTGGTCGGGTGAAAGGCAGTACTCAGCCTCAGCTTCGTCCCCATAGAAGCTTGCAACTCCTTCCAGAATTGAGATAGGAATCTGGAATCACGGTCAGAAACAATGTCTTGTGGAACTCCATGGTACTTAACCACGTGCTTAATGTAAGCTCGGGCTAATTTCTCCATGCTCCAGGTCTCGTTCATTGGGATAAAGCGAGCGGTCTTTGTTAACCGATCATCTATAACCCAAATCTTGTCTTTGCCAGACTTGGTTAGGGGTAAGCCCCCGACAAAGTCCATGGAGATGGAATCCCACTTCCATTTTGGCACTTCCAAGGGTTGCACGAGTCCTTTGGGCTTGCAACGTTCGGCTTTCACCTTCTGGCAGTTTAAGTATCGAGCCACGAATTCAGCTACCTCTTTCTTCATGTTTGGCCACCAAAAATTCTTTTTGATGTCTTTGTAGAGTTTGTCGCCTCCAGGGTGCACTGAATAGGGCGTGCTGTGCCCTTCCCCCATGATTTTCTTCTTAAGCTCTGCACATTTCATCGGAACACACCATCTTCCTTTGTGTCGAATGCTCCCATCTTCGTGCCGTTTGAACGGTCCGTTCACGCCATTTGTCATACCGGCTCGGATTCTATCTAGCTTTGTGTCTCCAGGCTGCCCTTCTCGAATTTCGTCGAAAATAGATGGGGTAACGGTCATGGTGAGTAACCGCGTTTCCCGATCTACCTCTCCGAAATCCCGAACTTCCAAGTCTAGCTTCTGAAAGTCCCGATATAGCTCATCTGGTAGTATCCATGTTGCTTTGCAGGAGTGAGTTGATTTTCGGCTCAACGCATCAGCAACTACGTTTGCTTTTCCTTCATGGTACTGGATCTCCAAGTCGTAATCCTTGACGAGTTCCATCCAGCGTCTTTGTCTCATGTTAAGCTCTTTTTGGGTGAAGATGTACTTCAGGCTCTTGTGATCAGTGTAAACCTTACATTGTGCCCCATAGAGGTAGTGCCTCCACAGCTTTAGAGCAAAGATAACTGCTGCCAGTTCTAAGTCATGAGTCGGATATTTGACCTCATGGGTCTTCAATTGCCTTGATGCATAGGCCACCACTTTGCCGTTTTGCATCAATACGCAACCCAACCCCTTTAGACAAGCATCAGTGTAAATCTCGAACCCCTCAGTACCGGATGGTAGGGTCAAGACAGGTGCAGTTGTTAATCTTTGCTTCAGCTCTTGGAAGGATTCCTTGCATTCGTCACTCCATACGAACTTCGTAGTCTTCTTTGTGAGATTAGTCAAAGGCTTTGCTATCTTTGAGAAATCCTTCACGAATCTGCGATAATAGCCCGCCAAACCTAGAAAGCTCCGGACCTCCGTCACGGTTGTGGGTGCAGGCCAGTCTATCACCGCTTCGATCTTTGATGGGTCAACGGATACGCCTTCTTGGGTGATGATGTGGCCCAAGAATGCTACCCGATCCCTCCAAAAATCACACTTTGAGAGTTTGGCATACAGCTGATTCTCTCTCAAAGTTTGCAGCGCTGTTCTCAGATGCCCTTCATGTTCTTTTGGTGTTTTGGAGTACACCAGGATATCGTCGATGAACACCACAATAAACAAGTCGAGGTAGGGTCGGAACACACGGTTCATGAGGTCCATAAATACCGCAGGCGCATTTGTTAGGCCAAACGGCATCACGGTGAACTCATAGTGTCCGTACCTCGTTCGAAAGGCCGTCTTTGGAATATCTTTCTCCGCAATCCTCACCTGATGGTACCCAGATCTCAAATCAATCTTGGAGAACGTGCTAGCTCCCTTTAGTTGATCAAAGAGGTCATCAATACGAGGCAGCATGTACTTGTTCTTGATGGTTGCTTTGTTCAGCTCCCTATAATCGATGCAGAGTCTCAGACTCCCATCCTTCTTCTTTACAAACAAGACCGGAGCGCCCCAAGGTGAGACACTTGGTTTGATGTAGCCCTTCCCCAATAGTTCTTCGAGTTGTTCCTTTAGCTCTTGCATCTCCTTCGGTGCCATTCGGTATGGTGGCTTTGAAATAGGTGCGGTGCCCGGCACTAGATCAATCGAAAACTCAACTTCCCTCTCCGGTGGCATTCCCGGAATTTCTTCCGGAAACACATCCGGAAATTCATTGACCACCGGGATTTGGTCAATGGTCGGATTCTCGGATGTTAAGTCTTTGATCATGCACAAGTAAGCCTCATACCCCTTCCGAATGTATCGTTTGACTTGTTGCATGGTTGCCAGCTTCACGCCTGGCTTAGATGTAGCCGCCTTGTAGGACACATGCTTCTTGTTGGGTCCCCTCAAGACCACCTTTTGTTCATCACACAAAATTTTGGCTTTATATTTCCCTAGCCAGTCCATGCCCAACACCACGTCGATATCCTCCAAGTCAAACTGGATTAGATCTCCGGGTAATTCGGTATCGGATATGACTATGGAAATATTAGAGAAAACACTTCCACATGCTACAATTTTATTGGATGCCGTTTTTATATTAAGATTAAGTTTAGTGGTAGGTTCTAACTTTAACTTTTCCACAAATTTTGAGGCTATAAAACTGTGAGACGCACCCGAATCGAATAGCACATGAGCAGGTGTGGAGTTTACAAGAAAGATACCTGACACCACGTCGTGGGCATTTGCTTGAGCCTGGTTCATGACATAAATCCGGCCCTGGGTGTTGTTCTGCCCTCCCTGGCCTTGATTACGATTGGCCTCTGCTGGGCGGTTACCGGGATTACCACAGTTGTGATTATCCCCACCCCCGGTTTGATTATTCCCCTGGTTTTGACTCTGGCTCGGGGGTTTCCGACACTCGTATGCCCTATGCCCCATGAGGTTACAGTTGTAACACTTCACCGCATTCCCCGCACAATCCTTCCCAGGATGGTTGTTTGGGCATAGTTTGCATTTGTAGTACCGTGCCTGAGTTGGCTGGTTTCTCCCCTGACCCTGGCATTGGAAGGTTCTACTGCCTTGATTGTTTTGCCTTTGCTCAGGGCGGTCGGTTCGGGCTTTCTTTTGCTGTTGTTCCATGTCAGCATTCTTCCGGTCTCTCTTCTGTGCCTCTCTTTCTTTCTGGTGTACCAGGTAGTACTTACCAGCCTTCCTATATGCCTCGTTCATGTTCCGTGGTTCTGCTACAGTTACGAACTTTTGGGCTCCGTAATTAAGTCCGTTAACAAATCTGCGGGTCATGCTGGCCTCTGTCGACACCAGGTCTTTCGCAAAACGGGCCAGTTGGACGAACTTCGTGTGATATTCCTGAACAGTCAGGTCACCTTGCTTGAAATTGACAAATTCATCATAATTTGCCTCTTTTACGTGATCCGGGTAGAAGCGATCACGCAGCGCTACTATGAAGTCCTCCCAGTCAAAGTCGGGTTGCTCGAGAAGTGCTGGTCCGTTGGCGGCCCACCAGTGGTCTGCTTCTTGGTGCAGATAGTACACCGCAATGTTTACTCGTTGCTCCATCGGACAATTGAGTGAGTCAAAGAGCTTGTCAAAAGTGCGAATCCAGTCCTCCAGGATAAGATGGTCCTCCTCGCCCATGTATTTTGGAGGGTTTCGCCCGGCTACTCTTGTTGCGTAGTCAATCCCATGGTTCTGGGGTTGAGCCGCTCCGATGAGCTGTGCCATTTGCTGGACAGTTTGGGCCAGCTCCTGGACAGTTGGGGTTGCATGGGGGTCTCTCCTTGGCGGCATGATTCTTAATAAAGAAAACGAGTACTAATTACTAAGGCATTCTTAATGCAAGTTCTCTACTAACTTCTGATTCTTAAAACAGATAAACACATACAGAGGATCTTACCTATTTCACATACTTCACATAAGCACGAATTTCATGCAAATAATTTCGCAGAGGTTTCTCTTTCTCACTGCGTCCCTAAAAGGCATTGTTCCTAGTCTGTTCTTTCTCCTAGTTTTTTATGAAAACGTTTTGAAAATCCCCACTTTGAAGGCATAATTTCCAAGGTTTCCTTCAAAGATTTCGAACAACGAAGTTTCAGCACAAGGAGAAATTCCCAGTTGGTTGGACGAGCGCGGAGACTCAATTAAGCACCAACCAGCTCAGACTCTTATCGTCTAGTTGACAGAATTCCTCCCTACGACCTATTACCTCGTGTTCTGATCCTTTCGGAAAACCTATGTCTCTGATACCAATTTGTAACACCCCCAAATTTCCCGCCCAAAAACATTGATATGATTAAAATAAAACTTTTATTTATTGATAATAAAATTTAAAGAGTACAGCGGAAGTCTAAATAGGGAAATGGGTGTCACCGCCACATCCGGTCATCTCTCGACCGGATGCACAGGCAGCTAAAACAATAAAACTAAATAAATAGATGTTTATTTGAAGACTAAATTTGACTAATGCAACTTCTAACTCGCTCTCAGGTACATGCATTCAGCAGTCAATATAACCATCATCACCTGCACAAATATCGTGCAGAAACAAAACAAAGAAAGAACAAAAATTAGCTTTAGAGCTAAGTAAGTACTACCCAACCCCGTAAAATAATCAGGTTTGACAAAAATAGATTTTTATATAATACTATATAAAAATAACACACTCCATAAAAATTCTCTTCTTCTTTGATCATCTCAAAAATCACTTCTTCTCTAACTTCCTAGTAATTTAGAAGGGCGGTGCTCAACCTTTCGACTGAGCCCGGTGGACCGTGGTTACGGACGGCCACCCCGAACAAGTGCCGGTACCACAACTGCTCTTGTAGAAACGAAACGACTACCTTAAGTGTGCACACCCCCTAAAAGGGATTCCAAGCCCTCCGAGTAGTAAGTCGTCACGAGTAATCGGGACTCAGTCTACCAACTACCCCACCTTTAAAATTCTTGAATGATTAGGGGCTACTATAACTTCTTCTTAAAAGGGATCATAGATCCAAATGTCACTTAAAACTCAAATTGTACTTCTTAGTAGTAGCAGCCCTAATCACCCTCCACATTTATCCGGATGTGGAAAACCGACACCGCGGATTTCTCCCGCGGTGCTCACCTCTTATAAAATCCTTACTTTTATCTTGAATTAAGTATACTTCAAAAATAATTCTTAATCTCTCTAAATGGTCTCAATGATATTAAAAATATTTAACACTCCAAAAGTATTTCATTTGTATTTCTCAAATACCATAGATCTAATATCTTCTCAAAATCACATACACATAATATCTTCTCAAAATCACATACACATAATATCTTCTCAAAATCACATACACATAATTCAAAATCCACACTTAATCACATAATGCATAATAAGCATATAATACGAGGAAACAATTTTGGATTGACAGAGAAACTTACCTCAAATCCAATGCTCCTATTTCTCTTCTTCTATTCCGGTCTCTAAGTATTCACCTTTTTAATTAAGATGATATAATTAGTCACTTATTCAATTTTAAATAATTTACCCGATTTTCCCTTTTACTTTGCTATTCGGATTTATTAATATAATTAGTTATTCGAGTTTATTTTTTACCTTTTAATCACTTCTTTTTAATGAAATCACTTTATTACTTCAGCCATGATTCCTCTTATTGGAGTACTATAATTATATTATAATAACCGAAATGCATCAACTTTTTAATTTATTAATCACCATTAATTTATTCTACCTCTAAAACATCCAATTAATTTACTATATTTTAATACTGTTAAGATATACGGATTATGAACATACTCAAATTACTTCAATTATAGCTTATTACAATTATGTTCATACTTAATAACTATCTCATACGATAGTATTAGCTAAGCTATTTAAACTAATTTGGTAATTAATACAATAATCCTTTATTAATTTTAATCAAGTCTGATAATAAAAGGTATTAAATAGTTAACTAATCTCAGTTCGTGACAATCTCTTTAATATCAACACCTATATTATTAACAAAAATCTGAATTGCATTGATATTCAAATTTCATAATTTCCTTAATTTGTATTAATCAACATATTACAATTAGCGAAACTGAATATCAAAAAGATTATTTAAACTAACTAACCATGATTAACTTAATCTGATTTCATTAATTTACTCAAGCACTTTAGTATTTCCGAGTCCGTAATTATGTTAACTTATTAATCTACTTCAATTATTCCAGCCAATTTCACCATTAATACTTCTCATCTCAAATTTATCAATTTTGCAGATTATTATTATTACTATTATTATTATCATTATTCTTATTATTATTATTATTATTATTATTATTGTTATTATTATTATTATTATTATTATTATTAGGAGTTTCGGCCCAAAGAAGAAGAAAAACAGGTGCCAGCCTAAACTAAACAAACGGCCCAACCTTTTAAAACAAAGCATTGTTCTTCTTCCTCGTAAGTTTGACGGAACGAGATGTGCAGGGGAAGGAAAGTTACTTCGACGGATTCGTGATACGGTGGTGGTAGAAGACTCTTTTGGGGACGGCGAAGGTCACTGATGGGTTGGCGGCAGCGGCAGCTCCTCCGTCTTCTCCGTTTTCCGTTTTTACGGTTAGCCCGACGGAACTCCGGCAAGCCCGTTCTCCGTCGTTTCACGATCGTTTTCAATGATTCTTCTTCCGTTGGACTCCTCTCAGACAGGGGAAGATCTCAGAGGTGTTTTAGGGGCTTGGTTATGGCTAAAACGATGGGTTGAAATTTGTGTACACATATATATATATACGTATTTATATATATATGAAGTATATGCGACTGCAACTCATCGTTTTCTTGGTGTGAATGAAACGCGGGTCTAAGGCTGCTATTTATAGTTGTAGGTCGAGCGTTCTGGCTGCGTTAAAGTTTATCCGATTGATCTACAAGCCCAAGTTTCGGAAGTTTTAAACGAAGTCAAGAAGCTTATGTTTGCCTAGGACTCTACTTGTGCATGTGGACTTTCTGTAGTCTAGATTCGTGCGGTAGATGTATATGAGGGTATTATGATTTCCCAGCATCCGCATATTTACTAGGTTATAGTTAATTACATATGTTTAGTACGTTTTTATCTTTTTAGTTAATATTTATCTCTTCGTTTGCAGGATTATATACGTTCATTTGGATTTATGTCCAAGCAAGTGTACATTATTATGCTTAAAGAGTTTGCCGATTATTACTAATAGAGTATATTAGGTATATATACATATATACGTAGTCACATATATACGCATTTAGTTTTTTAGTTTTTTTTTTTTTTGTGAAAGATCAACTTATTTATACACTTTTTACTTAACCAGTACCTATGGATTAGAAATATTAAGATCTCACTTCTATTATGGAAATATTTTATCTTACTAAGAATGTCACAAATATTAACATTTTATCTTAAACACTTTCGTAACATTTATTTTTTTTTTTTTTTTTGAAGTGTCACACGGTCGGACAAGGAAGACTCCATCCTTTCACAAGCAATTGAATCTAATTCAAGGCTCGTTAATGAGCGGCCGGCCGGACCAAGAACCGGACCAATTCCAAAACAACTTAACTACTACCTTTTAGCCGAGTCTACTACTCGAATAAGGGAGTGGGGGACTCGTGTTGGGATAATGGGACGGGTCCAAGACTATTGGCCCGTTACACCCGAGCTTTGGCCCGACCAAGCTCATAACACAGTCTGGATAGCGGATATTGGTCCGGGATTACTTACTTATTTATCGGATTGATTTGCCCATTAACTTTGAGATGTATTATTAATTAGGGCCAAGCCCACATAGATTAGACTTTGGACTTGTGATGGAGACTTATAAATAGGCCATCACCCCCATGTATTCTCGAAGCTATTTTCACTATACTGAATTGCTGCCGGATTCTTTACCTGGGATATTTTCTACCAACAATTCCCTTTGTTGACCTTGGTGGTGAATTGATATCCTTTGTGGATATAAATCGAGACCTGAGCTGGAAATCGGACTTCTAACAGTACTTAAGCAAGGTTGTGCTTTTTTACTAAGTAGAGAGAGGAAGCGGTCCAGTCCAACTAGTCGCCGACTCACTCTCCCTTATGGGAGGTCCCGGGTTCAATTTTCAATGGAGTGAGATTGATCCCAGTTTACCCCATACCCCCCAAACCCCCTCCCCTGACGCCCCCTGTGGTAAAAAAAATAAATATAAAAAAATAAGTAAGTAGATATGATCATATGTTCGGAGAACCCATCATTTTGCGGTCTGAATTTTCATCTACTAGAATCTCCTTGTGCGCACAAGGTATTCCTTTTCACAAATATTTTTCAGTTTAATCTTGTTTTCCGAATTAAACTCTTTGTGAGCCAAAACGCATATGTAAGCCAAAACTAATTTTTACCATACCTATTTTATCTAAACAGTCCAAGACAAATTAAATTTTCCCGTATTGTTTACAAATGCTTCACCGCCACTTTTGCTATATTTGAAGTTAATTTGAAAACTTTTAAAAGTCAGACTAACTTAATACTACCTCCGTCCCTTAAAACTTTGCTAAGTTTGACCGACACGAGGATTAATAAAGTAAAAACTTGTGGTTGAGTTTTGTGCAGATGAGAGAGAATTAACTGGAACAACAAATTCTTTATTTAAAAGGGAAAGTGACAAAGTTAGTGGGACATAGAGCCTATTTGCTTACTTACTTTTTTTAGGAAGCTTAATTAATTTACTTAAATAGTGAATATGTTTTTAATATTAAGACCATAAAAATGTTTTTGAGCAACTTCTTTTTCTATGCCACAAAAAAGATCACATTTTTTGCAAAAAAAAATTGATTTTTTGGTTTCAGTAGAATGAGTTTATTTTGATGATGTAACCCGTGTTATGAAAAATGTAACTCGTCTTGATGGAAAATATAATTTAATTGTATGCAAAATGTAACTCGTTGAGGCGAGCCCAAATGCAACTCGCTCATAGGATGATGTAAGTCATGCATAAAAAGAGTTTTTGTCACTTTTAGTCCCTTGATTATTGTGTTATTGACATTTTTGGTACTCGACTTTTAATTTTTCCATTTTTAATCCTCGACTATTATGCGAGAGACACTTTTAGTACCCGTCTTTGAAAATTTCCGTATTTAGTCCTTCGACTTTTGTAAAAGTGACACTTTTGGTCCTTCAACTATTGCAATGGAGACATTTTTAGTCCTCCACTTATTGTGTCAAAATCATAGTAGAAAGACTAAAAGTGTCAATTTCATAATACTCAAAGGACTAAATGTGGGAAACTTGAAAGTTGATGACTAAAAGTGTCTCTCGCGCAATAGTCAAGGACTAAAAATGGAAAAATTAAAAGTAATTTACTAAAAGTGTCACTGATATAATACTCGGGGGACCAAAAGTGGCAAAAACTCTGCATAAAAAGATGTAACTCACACACTTGAGTATGTAACTCCATATATTATCAAATGTAAGTCGATCCAGAAATTGTCTATAAACATAACTCACTCATGTAGAAATCTAAACCACACACATGAAGATGTAGTATTATATTTTATCAAATGTAGGTCGAAATAAATAAATTTAATGTCTTAAAAACACTAAAAACATATAAAAGAGATGAGAAATATATTATCAGAAAAAGTGTATGAATGTGAGAAAATATATTACAAAAAAGTGTATAATATAAAAATATTTATTTTGAAGGAAAATATTAATCTTTAGTTGTAATTCCAGTTGAATAAAAAAAAGTGAATGAACAAAGACTAAGACAGAAAGAAAAAATAATTAATTTATATTCAAAGGATGGAAATTTGATCACAAAATTGTAACACATACATTAAAGTGTTCCTGAATTAAAAAAAAAATCATTTGGAAAACATGATAACTTTAATAATGAAAAAAATAAAAATAAAAGACGAAATAGAATAAAGTAACGATGGCGGGGGATGCCACTTTGTGACTAAAGAAATAGACAATACGATCGCTTTTGATAAACAAAAAGAACTAGAGTGGAAGGACCGAAGGAGTGCGGATGTGCTACTGGAGAAAGAGTGTGTGTGAGCAACATGTGTTTTATCAGGTATAAACGGCACCGTATTTGAGATTGGTACACCATGCGCATGGTGTGCCGATCCCACGGTATAATTTGCTTAAGGTTGTGGTTATGATTAAATTTGTATGGTTAGACCATCGAGTATTGTTATTATTAGGGTTTGTATGCTTTGTAAAATGGTTGATATAAAGTTGTTGAATGCCTATTTCGTATTTCGGGTTTCCCGATTATAACAACCGACTTTTTTTTCGTTTTTTACCGAACGAAATTGATTTAGTTCGGTTCGGTATTCAGTACGAAAATATGCATAACCGAATTTCGGTTTACCAAAATTTGGGTTCGGTATTATTGAATGAACACCCCTACCTAACTACCTAACAATCAAACGATCGGCGTTCAAGTTTCCTTAGTATTTATGTAACTAAATACTAATAGGTACGAAGTATTTGAGGAAAACCTGTAAGGGACGTTTCTTCCAGCTCAGGTCTCCGTTTATACCCACAAAGGATATCTATTCTACCACAAGGTCACAAGGGAAGGAGTGTGGCAACGGCCACCAAGCTTTTCCGGCCAAAATCAGTCCGAGCACCCCCCCCCCCCCCAAAAAAAAAAAGAATCAGTAAGAGCAGCGTAAGACAAGGTTCAAGAGTAGAGAGGATTCAGCCAACCCTAATCGCAGACAACACGGCGGAATAAATAAGCAGAGCTCGAAATCCAAACATGGTAACTTGCCAAGAAGAGGAGATTGACAATTTGAATCGTATTGTCCTGGAGAAGGAAAGTATCGTGCAAGAGGGAAGGAATCAGCAAAGGGGAAAAACTGTACGAATCGGATACTCAACAAAAGGGTCGGGAAGAGGGAGTGTAAATGGGTTTATGGGAAAGCTAGGCCAATACCCAACACATTCTCCACCTTATTGGACCCTAGTGGTGTAGAGTAAAAACTATAATACAAAATTGAGACTCATCATCGCTGGATTGCCCGAATGACCACAAAGACACATTCAGGCAAAAGGGGAAAGATCACCATACAACTTATTCGCAATCAATGTTTAACGTGCATTTGCACGACAACAGTTTTTCGACAGAGAGACATTTAGTTCCCATGTCAGCGGGATTAAATTCAGATGGAATTTTAATCAACTTGATATGACCTGCACTAACAATATCACATATAAAATGAAATCTGACATCAATATGCTTAGTTCTATCATGAAAAAACATGATTTTTGCACAGTTGAATAGCAGATTGACTATCAGAAAACACACAAATGTCCTGCTTAAGACTACCAATCTCCGTTAGGAGACGCATAAGCCAAATGGCTTCCTTAAATGCTTCAGTAGCGGCCACATACTCACACTCACTAGTGGAAAGGGCAACTATGGGTTGAAGTTGAGACTTCCAACTAATGCAAGACCCGCAAAGAGTAAACACATAAGAGGTGGTGGATTTCCTATTGTCTCTATCGTTAGCAAAATTAGAGTCCACATACCAACTCAACTTAATACCCTCAGAACACCTAGTGAAAACCAACTCATGATTAACAGTAGATTTCAAGTACCTAAGCAACCACTTAAGAGCATTCCAATGGTCTAAACCGCGATTAGACATATACCTACTCAAGCAACTAAGAACATAGGCAATGTCGGGTCTAGTACTCACCATGAGATACATCATGGACCCAATAGCATTGGAATAAGGTACAAATTTCATTTTAGCAATTTCAGTAGCAGTCTTGGGAGACTGATCCTTACTTAACACAAAGTGAGACGCCATAGGGAAAAACGGGAGTAGCAGAATGCATGTTAT